TTGTTGACTCTGGGGGTTTGCCTTACAACAAGAGAAAGTCATTCTCTTGGCACTAGTCACCTGCCACCTGTCACAGGCCAGGACCTGGAAGCCTGAGAAAGCATGTGATACGGACATCCTGTTTATTTATGACGGCAGTGGCAGCCTTTCCAGATGGCAACAGCACTGATTGGTGTTCTTTATCTCCTCAAATGTCACACGCAGAAGCCCCAATGGCAGACCTTTGAGAGTGTAGATGAGCAAAGTGAAGTTTGGCCCAGAGCCTTGCCTCTTTTTCCTATGACCATGACCAAGGTCTTTGCTGTATTCAGGCCCTAGCTCCTAGTTTCTTACAAGGAGTTCACATTAAGACTGCTAAGCCTACCTGAGAGTTATGGACTGTTTTGCTGGGGACTGAAATCCAGATCAGTGGCCTGTTGTTTTCAGACCTTACTCCATTTCCTTTCTTTTGGAAAACTCGCCACTTAATGCTGTCATCCCAGAACTCCAAACGCCGGGCACTGCACCTTGGAGGGAATCTTGTTGCACCCTCACATTAACTCTAGTGCTTGGACCTTCCTTCTCAGGCAAACCCACCAAATACTTGTACACCATCAACCACTGAGGTCAGTCAACACAGAAGATACACAGGGACAAGACCACTCTGAACAGGTGAGGAAGACACTCCTCAGATTCTCCTACTGATAAGCACAGAACTGTAGATTGTTGGAGGTTAATTCTAATGCTTTATTTTAATTCAGCTCCCAAAAGCGCTTCTACATGTTGAGGGTTCCTGCCCCAAGCTGGCTTTGATTGATAATAAAGAATCGTTGTACAGCCAAAGGCTAGGCAGGGAGATGGAGGCGGGAGTTCTAGATTGCTTGGGCAAAAGGCCAAGTGGGGGAAGAAGAAGAAACAGAATCGCCAAGACAGTGGAGCAAAGAGATCAGAATTAAAGGCACCCTGACATGTAAGAATCTGGGGAAGTAGCCCCAGGGGCCACTCCCCTGCTTGGGTCTGGGGAACCAAAGATAAAACATAGATTTAGAAAATCTTAACTCAGGAATACCAGAGAGAAGTGTGTACTAGCCCCGGGGAGATTTACAAGTGCCCAGCCATTGAGCCTATTAAAAATTAAGTTGTATGCGTGTCTTCCATTCATAAATCCAAAGCTCTTGGGCAAGTGCAGTGTACACGCAACCTGCTGGGAGTCAAAGCAGATTAACTATTCACTGCTACAGTAGATAGCTAACCGGGCTAGGAAAACGTGCAAGTTGGTGAGAATTCATTGTGATTGATGTTATCTCGTCAGTCAAATTGGGGCAGGCTCTTCTGAGGATCTGAAGGACAGGGTGGAGAGGGGAGTTGTAACATTGTAGAGAGAAAACTGTTCATAGCATGAAGAGCCATAACCAAGTACTGGCAATCAGTAGGGAAGCAGGTAGGAGGCCTTCTTAGGGAAGGGTGGTACTAGGAAGCAGTCAACAGCAGGACCAAGGTAAGGGGCACAGCTGGTCCAGACAGAGCTGAGAAACTTCGGAAAGGCTTCCACAAGGCATATCTAGAGCAGGGACTAGAGGCCCACAAGTGTGGGTGTGTAGAAACTTGCAGGAACCCAGGTAAACCAGGGTTGGCTTGGGCTATGGTTGTGGTAAAAGGAAGGAGGATTGCAAAGGGATAAAGGAGCATTCACAAGCCTGTCCCCACCGGGAGTGGACATTCTGACTAACTATAGGATACAGCACATTGAATTAAATCCAGCATGGAGCAAAGTTGTTCCTACTGAGGAGCCAGGGGTTCCACTTCTTCCTTTGTCCCTTTGCAGCTGGGAAAGGGCTGGGCCACTGGGCCATAGACAGAGCCTGGCCCTCCTACTCTCAACTCTAATGATGTTCTGCTCAGCTGAAGCGTGGTTTGTCCTGGCCTAACTCTCTGTTCCTTTTCACACCAAGGTTTGGGAAGCAGGCCCAACATGTTTTGAGAAGATCCTTAATTTCCCAGTAACCTTGAATTCTTTGTTTTCTCACTATGAAGTTCAGGCTGGCTTTGAACTCAAACTTGCTAGCAGCAGCCTCAAGAATGCTGGGATTACAGGCATATTCCATATGTAGCTGACCCTGGATTTTTACATCTCCTTTGGGAATCCTGTTTAGAAGCTTGCATTAAGTGCTGAATTCTAGCATTTTCCTGTCTGATCATGGCCTCATCAAAATGCCACTTTGGATGAATTCAAACAGCACCTTTAATACCTTCTCTACCATGCAAAATGTGAAACTCACGGATGTTTATGGGAAGCAGCTTGATCGAGGCTGTGAACTACACACCTTTGAGAAGCTAACAAATTAACCCATGGGTCCCTTATCTTCTCTCAGTGAGAGGTATTTGCATTTTTCTGAACTATTATTATTTAATAACACACAAATAAACTTAACCTTAATGAGGCAGGGCATCCTATAGCTTACCTCAGCTCTTTAGCATGTGATAGCACATATACAGCAATGCCACAAGGTGAAAACAAAGGAGTAGCAAAGGTGGGGGTTAAATGATGAAAGAAACAACTCAAAAATAAGAAAGAAAAAACCCACTTCCAAACCGATGTGTGTGAGAAATTTCAGACTTCTACTCCAATATATTTATTCTCTTACTTTTATAGTGTTTCTGCTTGTTTCTTCTATGTTGCAATACAAAACAGTGCTCAGACTGCCTCCAAGGGGAATGGAGGAATGGCTCAGTGGTTTAAAACACACATTGCTCTTGCAGACTACTTTCATTCCTAGCATACAGGTTGGGTGGCTTGTACTGGGCACCTGTACTCATGTACACATAGCCCTGCAACACACACGCACGCACACACACACACACACACACACACACACACACACACACACCCCTGTACTGTGAAATATTTCCCTAGCCTGAGAATCATTTGCTCAGGTAGGGTCTTGTTTTTCTCATATGCAAATCTAATCTACTTACTGCTTGATAATTTACACATTTCTGCAGTGCTGTAGAAGGAAGCCAATGAAGATCAGGCTTCAACAAGGTCATTTAGCAAGATCAAGGACAACCGGCGGAAGTCCTTTTTGCCCACACAGCCTGGATGGAGAACATGAGTAAACCACACCCCACTGTCTCAGCAGTCCTCAATGAGAAACATCTGAGGGTGGCTCATTTAAAGCCATCTCGCCATCACTGCTCACGCTTTTTGGAAGTCTTTCCTAAATAATACACTTTTTGCATAAGTTACAAACTCTGTATTCCCCTCATGCTTTGAGCACCAACATCTGCTCTCAAACCAAGTGGGCCAGCTGAGTAAATACAGTTCTCCCTGACGTCTGAGAGGCCCCCGGGTTGCTCTCCCCCTTCACCCTTGTGATCTCTGCTTGTCAGTTTTGTTCTCTGCTCCAGCAATTGTCCCAAGTCTCATTCTGTCACTGGCAGAAGCCGCTTAAGTGATGGCATTGCAGCTCCCACAGTCAAAGGGAGGTCACACCGGAGGTTTGAGTTTACAGAGTTGCTCAAAGACCTTGGAGAAAATGGGGGTGCCGTAGGCACAGTTGTAGTCTGGAAGGAACCTGCATCAGTGTGTGAGATCAGAACAGTCAACATGCTAACACTTATCTACGGAGGATGAGCCCACCAGCCTCACCTCTGTAGCTGCTGCCAGGAAAACATTTCCAGTACCAGCTTCCATTGTCCTAGCATTAAGAGATGATCCTCTGGATAGCTTCACTCCGTCTGTAAATCCGTAGAGCACAAATTACTCTGGCCTGACAGGCGAGTACCTCCAGCAGACTCCCCCAGTTGCACACTCCAGGCTTTGAATACTACCCATAAATCTGATGGTTTCTATTGGAGGTAACTTTTGACAATATTCTCTATTTCCTCTGTAATGGTCTTCACATATTTCTATTTTCTGGAGCTGGCTTTATCAAACTGCACCTGTCTTAGGTGACCACGCTGAAGCAGAGAATAACCATGCTTGCCCACTTACCTGCTTACTGAGAATTCAACCTGAAGTGCTCAGCACAATACCAACACATCTTTACACTCAGTGTTTGCCTTAACCATACCAAGTACAACACTGTGACATGGAATCTGTAGTTGATACCACCATGCTTTCAGGTTAAAATGCTAGTAGCCAGGCTGGCCCAATGGCTAAAAAGCACAGGCTGCTCTTCCAGAGGATCCAGGTTTGGTTCCTGGCACCCACATGGTAGCTCACAAGCCCCTGTAACTCCAGTTCCAGAGGATTGGATGCCTTCTTCAGCACTTGCTCAGCTTTCAGTCACATGGTGCACAGGCATATATGCAGGCAAAACACTACATTAGTCTTTTAAAAAGACACTGGTTGCTTCAGCCATCTACTATTTGCACTTAGCATAATGTCTGCTGACCAGTGCTGAATGTGGGGTGAAAGTTCTGAGGCCCAGCCAATGACGCTCCAAGTCATCGGAACCGCCAAGTCCTATCCCAGGGAATGCTCTCCCTAGGCTCCCTTCCCCACACGGCAGGAACATCTGCTTCATCTTTAAGGACATGAGAAGTTAGGAACAGTAAGGTTACAACTTTAAAAGCTCATCTGTGTGAGTAAACAGGCAAAGGTTCAAATGTGCTCCATTTTACAGGTCAAGGATGTTTTAACCTGCCTTTTCCCAGGCACTTGAAAACACCATTCTTAGTGTCTTTTTTTCCATCCCAGCCCTTACACATAGGCATGTATATATATCTGCCTAAGTCCACGGATAAAATGTTTTATCCTGATTGTCCATTCTATCTTAAAATGACTGGATTGGGGCAGGGGAAAGACTGCCATTGTGAGACTCCCATCTTCGATTTACTTCACTTTGGCCTCCACTGACTCTTGATGCAAGAAGTGGATGTTGTTTATCCTAATATCCATCAGATTCAGAAAATCAGGGGACTGAACAGCTGGGAAGTGTAGTCTATCCAGACACTGATCAGAGAAATCATTTTGTGAGCGATAAATTGTCAAGCAAGACTCAGTGACAACACATTAATTCAAGTGACTTCAATTTTATTTTTTTCATAGAATCTTCAGAAGGTGGGAGAAGTGTCAGGTAGAATATCTCCCCATCCCTCTCCCCACCAAGCCAAATCACTCAAGAACCGGGATCTAGGAAATGAATAGTAGAGCATCAGTGGTAGCATTACGTACAGTTGGTTACAGCACCATGCCAATAAGCCAGGGTCTGAGCACTGACTTCTGCAAGGGCCAATTAATTGACATTTGTCCCACGAATGGAGGCAGCACTCTCAACTGCAAACTGCTTTTTTACAACGCATCCCACTGTCAGAAGACAAGGTCCTGGCAAGGTGGCTGGTGGATGGAAACAGGTCTATCTACACTAATGGAGGGAGGAAAAACCAAACAAACCATGTATGCTACTGATGAAAGGTTAATGGAATCTTATCTGTAAAGGAAAAGCCGTATATATTCTTAGCCCTATGCTTCAACATGGTTCAAGTCTGAAATAGTTAATGACAGTTAACAGCTGACTTGATCTTAGAACTAGTAACATACCACAGCAATCTACAGTAAAGGCCCTGATATTTACTCAACCTATGGAACTATTAATTCCACACGGACATCCTTTCCTCTAGGATAACTATGTACCATACTTTTTTGCATATTTACCAGTAGTTATTTGGTTTGAAGTACTGTGAAAAATTCAGCTAAAAAATTATTCATAAAACTTGTATTCTGTATTTTATTTTCAAACAGCCAAGTGTCCACATTTAAAATGCAGAATTTGCAAATATAAGTTAATCTAATAATTCAGTTTAAAATAAAGTAAAACAACTTCCTTTAGTATCACAATACACAAAACAGTATTATAAACTCCGAGAGGCGAGGTGAACTGTGACGACTGTGCTGAAAGCTATGAACTCATTAAACCTTGTAATGTCAGTTCATGTCCCGTGACCAGGGATCAAACAAGCCGCCACTGCATTCGAATGGCTCAGTGACTCACTCATGGTATAAAATGGGGCTCAAGCAAGATGTTTTTTTTTTTTAAACAATGATGATAAAAAAACTTTCAACAGAAAAATCCTCCCAATTGTTTAAAAACAATTATACATGGAGGATAACTATTATTTTAAAATATCTTGGCTAAATTTCAATCATTAGGCTGCTGACTGCAGTGTAAAAGTTTGTATTTAAAAATATCACAAATATAGTATTTAACAGTGAAAATTTCAATGTGGTTAAGTTTCACTGCAAAGCAATTTCACCTGAGTAGACTTCTGAAATTTAGTGCTCATATTTTGAGGGAAGGGAAGGAAAGCCCCACTTTGTGTCTGATACTGAGTTTGCAGCTGATCTCCCAATGACCCCCTAGGGGTGCAGGAACCATCTGCTGTGGCCTTCCCAAGAAAAGACACCCCCTTTCCCACGTAAATTTACTCTGGCATCTTAGGAATTCTCAGTATCCATCAAATATTTCCATGTAGCTACCCATTCAAGCATAGCAACCCACTTCATTCAGTTCTATACAACAGCCTCTACATTATATACATGTTTAATTAGCAATAGGAAATAGAAAATAAAAAGTTTACAGCGATTGAGAGGGGCCGAGACCAGGACAGGAAAAGCAATACTGTGTAATCAGAATATCCTAGCAGCCTACCACCTTCAACAACAAGGTTTTCTTTTATTGGTTGGAATACAAAGAAGGCATAAGGGACTTCAGGAAAATAACACTATGTCTCAGAAAATCCAACGTGCTCCATCATCAGGATTTCCATCACACATTTAATTTCTTCTGTACAATTTTTATAAACTGTTTTTCTTTTCAAAGTCATCAGATTTCCAGGTGAAACTCAGCACTACACAGTATGCCCTTGAAGCAATGAGGTTAACCTGCTTTATTTGGGTACCAAGGTCCCTTCCAGACAGCATTAAAATAAAGACAAGTAAGACTAGACAGATAAAATCCAGTATAATTCAAACCCGACAATGAAAAATTTCCCCCATATTGTTGCAAAATTCTTTCTACTGAAATGCTTTGCTACAATAATAAAAAGCATACATTACATAGAAAAGGTACCAGTGTACGAAAAAGTGACAGGAGTGGGCTAGCAAATCCTTCAAAGCACATTATATAAATGACTAGCATTAAAAACATTTTCCCTATAAAATGTAGGTCATAATCATTTATAAATTGGCGGCTTCGTCTCTAAAGCAGTGATGGGTGTTCAGAGAGCTGCTCTGTACAGTGTAAGATCTACTCACTTCAAGCTAAAGGTTTCTCTTTCTTTGTATTGAAGTTGAGTAAATTCATCTGGTCAGCTGAGAAATCAAGCTTGAAAAATAAGTATCTAAAAATCAAAGTAGAAAGTTTAGAATCATTGAAATGTAGCTATGAAATATGAAGCAATCTATCTACTTCACAAATGAACTGAAGTTACCTCAACACTTACGGGCTTGAATCTAGAACAGAAACACATACTAAAACCCAAAGCAATCCACAGTTAGGTAGCAGTGCAGAAGCAGGGAAAACAAAAAAACAAAAACAAAAAATAAAACACATCCCTTCCTTCAGTGTGATGGGCACTAAGTTCTGCGGTCTTCCTCCATCTTTGCACAAGAGTGGTAAGGCCATTCAATGCTTAGTGAGAGTGAGCACAGACGAAGCCAGATCTAGCCTGTCTCCCCTGCAACGTCAATTATGCTGTGTAAACAGTGTTACGTTCCAACAGGAGGAACAATGGAATTTGCTTATAAAAACTGATTAAAGCTAATCATTATTAGATGAAATAAGGGTAACTAATAACTCTGAAATGTTTCTCTAGAACGTTCCTGATGCTACTTGTAAAGTTAGCACTGCTATGTATTATTGCTTACATACAGGACAACGTCACACGCCTTCTAACATACAGCGGTACTGTGGCTGGTTTGTACATATTTACAGAGTCTTAAAAACAAGCTGTAAAAACATTACATACTTTCAGACAATACAAATTAGCACATTGGTACTCACTTCAAACAAATGGAATGCATAACATTAATAAACATCATAAAGGAAGACTCACATCAAGTCCTTGATTGTCAAGACACGTTTATATATAAACTCTAACTGTGCAGAATCAAAGGTTCAATCATAGGTAGGTGCATCCTTACTCGATGAACCCTATTTACAGCATGGTATTGCATAAAAAAATAAAATAATGTTTACAGGGTTTTACTTTTTTTTATCCATTGGATTAAAGAAAGCAACAAACACAACAAGAAATGTTTGTCTGCTTTAGTCTGTTTCCTACCAAAGTCTAGGTGGAAAAAGGAAACACACGGTTTTTATTTGCAGAATATAGCAAAAACAACTGGAAAATTATTTCCCTGAAATAAAGCAATTTGAAACGGAAAAGGTTTAAATTAAATTGCAGACTCAAATAGATTCTCACTGATTATAATAGTGCGTCTTCAAGTAAATACACTGAAAAAAGATGAACTCTAGCTTAAAGGTTCTAGGGAGCTCGGTATGCAGCATGCCTACTCAGAGGATCCCGGCCTCTTTTGTATTTGTTTTTTTTGTTTTTTGTTTTTTTTGTTTTGTTTTTGTTTTTTAAACAGCCCTTTAAAAGCCCAAATTAATAAAAATCAAAGAAGTGGCAAAAGATCTAACCTCGCTGGCACTTTGCAAGTGTCCCTCACCTGTGGGAATGAAAGCTTGCCCTGAGCACAAGGCCTCTTCTACCTCTTAAGAGATAAAATGACCCATTGCTGGCACCCTGAGTCAGAGCTAAGATGGTGGATTCCTACCTGACTAGGTAGCATATGCACACTGTAGATCCACAAAAATAAAAAACCGTAGGAGCTACTCAGCTATCCCAAACCCATTTAAATACAAGTGCAGTAAGAACTGAAGCTCAAACAGGAACAATGCTTCTGGATGTTGGAGAGCTCCTGTCTTGTCTAGTGGGCCCAGACTGACAGGCTAACGGTGAGCAGACGCTGAAGGGTGGTAGAGCTATACTTCGAGAAGAAGTGAGAAGTGTGAACTCATATCCTCCAGGGATCTGTCCAGAGCAGCACACAAGGCCACTCTCTTTCTCTAATGCCAGGTAGGAAAGCTTTCTAAACCAACACGGGGAAAGCCAGCCTGTTGAGATGTTTCTCGTAGGATGAAGATACAAGCTGAGCCTGGCAGGCATCTGGAATTTCACAGTAAGTGATGACTATACTTAACTGGTAAGTCAGTAAGTTATGCTGGCTAGCAGTTATCTCAAATGCTTACAACCTGGTAGAAAAGTCTGCCATTGTGTGGATTTAAAGAAATGTATTTAAGACAGGAATGCAACACCTGAAATTCTGTTTACAGAACTTCTATTTTCAAAGGCTTTTCTTCCTAAGCTGACCTGAACCGCTCAGCAACCGTCACATTCTTAAAACTGTGCTGGTGATGTTAAAAACAGACCCTTACACTGTACAAGAAATGCATCAAGTGCTCTGTGGAACCACAATGTGTTTTTAATCAGGCTCAACTTAGAAAATAAGTATCTGCTCTTATCAAAAGCAGTATGAGGAAACTACAAGCACCCATTTAGGGTGCACAGGGTCTATCACCTCATCTGATGAAGCGTTCCTGTGGTTATGTGATGCGCCACAGACACACATCAGTCTCCAGATCAACAATGGCAGAACTTACTTCAAAGAAGTCTAAAGTTCTTGAAGATCTGACAGCAAAGCTGTCAAATGGGAAAGTTATGATTTCAAGCTAAGTTTCATAACAAAGTGTAGAGGAAACCATATTAAACATAACTTATATTCCTTGTCATAAAAATACTAACATTTTAAAAAATAAATGAGTAAAGGATTGCAAGTGAAGAATACTGGGGGAGGATATTTCTTTGTTCCCTTCTTTATGAGAACAGTCCTGGGATAACATTAAATAAAAGAAAAATAATTTAAATGGATAAAATACTCAACACTGAAACAAAGCACGCAGATCTACAGGGTCAACAGCAAAGTCAAATGGAAGTTAACAAAAGTGTCATCTCCCAAGGGTACTGGTTTCAGATCATCACTGGTGCACTGTGATAAAGATGGCAGAAATGCAAAGTACAAAACCCAAAAAGGTAGAACAAATAAAAGAGATGTAGAGCCAATGTAACGAATGTTAGTCTCCAAAAATTAAAACTGTCCAATGTGTAACTCAAACCATCATTCTTCATAAAAGTATATATATATATATATATATAAAAGCACTATTTATCGTAACATGCTGTATTATTTTAAGACAAAGTATACATATATAAAAAAACATTCGTGGTATAAGGATAAAGTCTGTAGTTTATTTAGATTTTGAAATGCAACAAAAAATTTCCCATCACTCATCTAAGCTGAAAAGAAATTGCAGTTACTGGAATCAGTAAGCACTTCTGCTTTGTAAAACTGTCGTGAGCAGTATTCACTTAAATGTAACTTAAGCAATTAAAATGCCCATATCTTTAGTTTCTTGGGATACTGTTCAATTATCCAATCTATCAAGAGTCCAGAAAGAGAAGAATTAAACCAGGTTTTACAGTCCAAAGATATCCCAACTTTCTTTTATTGCCAAAAAGCAAAATTGTCAATTACGAGATGATTATGACACAACCATATCAAACCTAAAAAAAAAAAAAATCTATGATTTTAACTTTGAGAAATCAAAAATACCAGATTAATTCTAAGTGCTCTATGTCAACTGAAGTGTGTAAAATAAAATACATTTCAGCTTTAAAACGTGGAATATACATTTTGTGTAAGCATTATTTTCTTGGGAATGTAATCTACAGAATATTTTTTTTTTTTACTAAAACTTCAAACCTTGATACTTGCACATGAAAAATCATAAAAAATATCTAAGTTTACCTGTACAAAGAAACTGACACCAATATGCATACTTCCATAGAGAAGTGAATGTTTAACAGTTGTGTGTTTTGGTAAAAGTTTTGAAAGTATGCATACTTTAAAAGTAATTAGGCTTTTAAATAGTGGAGTCTTAGACTATCAGATTTTTATTACTTTTTCTTCAAAAAAAAAAAAAAACATGTCAATATAATGCAAAATGAAAACCAAGGGTATATGGCATATCATTTTTAAAGGTGGTTTCTTTTTATTCCCCCCTATAGGACAAACTACTTATTTAAGCCATAATCTCTTGACATTGAAACTTTAAGTTCACTGTCTGTGACGTATCCTCGGATTCCCTGCTGAAGTGCAATACTATGCTGAAAAACTCAGAAACAGTATGATGAAGTTTCACACAATTACTAGGCTCCTAAGAATGTACAATGTTATCAGTTAGGAAACAATTGTGCGAAAGTCTTTTTTTCTTTTATCTTGGTGTGGGTGAATAGCAAGGTTCTGATCTAAAACAGGTAATGCATTGCTTCTCTAATGGTGACGACACATAAGGCAGTTCAAGGAATGCGGACTAACCAAACGAAATGCGGTTATTGGATTATCTTGCTATTCTTATCAGCTTGCTATGAACGCACTGCTCTTAGATCTGTACAGCACTCCATTTTACAGAGTAACCCCACTCTCTGTTAATCTGTTCTAAAGTGCCAGCATTATTTACACATTTTTTTTTTTTTAGCCAAAAGTCTGGCCAGTTGTGGCATCTGGTGAAGATGTCATCCCAGCTCTATTATCATTTACATTCACCAAGGGAAATTCTGAAAATTCAGCACTTGTCCCTGGTCCCCGAAGGTTCACCTGTCCATTGGCAGTGCTAAATTGAGTTGCTATTCCAGCTCTGGATCCATGATATGGAGCACGGAAGGGCTGTTCAAAGGAGCTCATTTGGTAAGCCTGGTGGACAGGCTGTGCCTCAGCTTTCTTCTGAGAAGTTACTTGATCCAAAAAGTCTGCTGTTGACGTGGCAGAGGCATGGTTTGTCTCGTCACCTGAAAAGGGAAACGGGTGCTGTGCGTCCCCGACTATTAGTCCAAAGTGGGACTTATCTGGAGTTGTTCTTAGTGGAGAATTCATTCCTGATCGAAAGCTATTGATGGGCATGGCTGCATAGACTTGCTTGTCTATGGAAGAGAACGCTGGCGGATTTGGAAGGGTCTGGTTGTCAGTCACAAAGTTAAGGCTCGGGCTATTCAAATAGGCATCGTTTTGGCTAGTTCTGTCCAAAGCCTGCTGCAGAAACTTGGAATATTCCTGCAACATGTTAGCTTTATCTGATGAGGATGCTTGGGAGCTTGATCCAACATTCTCTGACTGGGTGACTTCAGGTACATCGGAAGAATTGATTGATATACTAGAAGTCACTTCGGTATCTGCAACGCTGAAGGAAATCTCATGCTGTCCATTAGCTTTGTGGGAATAATGATCCAGCAGAGTCTGCAGAACCTCATCTGGAATAACATTTTTGTCATGATTGCTCTTAATCTCCACATTCAGTGCCTGGGAATCCAGTATGGATGCTGTGGTGCTTTCATCTATGACACTGGCCACGGCTGCTTGTGTCACAGAAGGCTGAGAAGCTATAGTGCCCACATTCAGTGCGTACTCCCTGCTGTTGTTACTTGCGGCTTGAAGATACCGCTTCTTCTTCAGAAACTGCATGGCATCGTCGTAATTAGTACTGCTGTGCACAGGCTTGCTGGGCCCCTCCTGCAAGTTATCCACTTGATCGATGTCAGCACTGCCTTCTGAGTCCAGTAATGCCTGCTTATCCACAAGTTCAAATGCATACTTGGAAACTTTGCTGTCTTCATAAGTGGATAATGGTGAAATGGTTTGACTTTGCTCCAGGGGCTGTTTCAGACTTCTCTTACTATTGATTTTTTTGAGAACCAACTTGGGTGGGTGTATTTCTCCAGATGCATCTTCTAAGTGGGACCCTCCCACTGAAGAATGGGGCATTTCAACAGCGTACTCTGCCACCATGTACTCATCCTTTACTTTAGTGCTGGAGGAGTAGAGAGGCAGATAATCATTTTTGTCTTTCTTCAGGTCAGATTTGTCCAATACACTCTCTTTGTCCATCCCAGACGATTTCTTCTCAGTCTTTTGCCTTTTCTTTTTTGGCAGTGAATTATCTTTTGGTGATGTAGAAAAGCCAGAATCTTCCTCTGATGTCAGAAGGCCACCTTTGATGGCACATCTGTTTAGTTTTTTGTCGTGATTTTCATGGCACATACGTTTATGTTTCAATACACGATCTGTTCTGGAAAAATACTGTTGAAATCAGAGGTTGGAAGTGGTATGTTGTTGTTGTTTTTATGTTTGTTTGTTTGTTTGTTTTGTCAACAAGGAAGAGAAGAAAAGAAACAAGATAATTAATAACAATATAAATAATTCCAAACCAATTCACTGATCAAGTTTCTATTATAAAATCTAATCAGAGTTTAAAATCTCAAATGGTTCTAGCACTAAATAGTGCCTAACTTGTTGGTGATTTTGCACTGCAGTTAAGGTAGGAGAGTTCAAACTGTTTAACTTACCTGTAAGCAGTATTCACACTGGTAAGGCTTCTCTCCACTGTGAGTTCTTTTGTGCCTTTCCATGTGATATTTCTGTATGAATCTCATACCACATTCATCACAGCGAAATGGTTTTTCACCTAGTACATGATTTAAAAAATTTAAAACAAAACATTGTAAAATCATGGGCTGTTTTGCCAAAAGAAATTCTTAACATAAACAAAAAGTCTGCCATATACTAAAGGCTCAAAGTCATTGATGCAATCAAACACAATTCTTGGGTACAGGTTTTTAAAAAATAACGTATCACCTGGAGATTTCTATTATCCCTTCCTCATGTGCGGTGCATGCCACGGCACACGAAGAGTGGTCAAAAGACAGCTTGTGGGCTTGACTCTCCCCCTCTACCACGGAGGTCCCAGGGTTTGAACTGACACACTCTCAGTCTTGACACCAAACACCAAAATGGATTCGGCTAGTTTGCTAGTCTGGGTATGGCTATTTTATTCTTAGGTCTTTGTTTTTTTCTTTTTAATTTTAAATTACTTCTACTTTTCTGTGTATTGGGGGTAGACACATGCATGTCACTGAACATGTAGAGGTGAAAGGACAATCAAGGAAATCAGTTTTCTCATTCCACCCTGTGGTCCTAGGGGTTAAATTCAAATCATCAGGGTTGGTATGGCTCTTAATTCCTTCAAAAGCACTTGGGAGTAAGTGAAATCTAGATCCTAAGTATCTCTTAAAGAGAATTTACTAACACAAAGTACTGGGACAAAGTTTCCTAAGTAAGGTTTGAGGTTGGGAAATCATTTATGTTATATGTGCTCCAAAGCACACATGCAGTCCTGAGTGAGATTCATACCTAGAACTGCAAAACAAAAGTAAGGGCTACTTCTTTTCTTAACTTAAAGCCACGTTTTTCGTGTCATCTGTGGAAAGAATTAAACTGTGTGCTGTCACCCAGACACATGACTGCTCTCCTCCTTTTATTCCCTGGAGATTTCCTAGCTGTGAGGAAACACAACTTTGAGTTCAAATAGTTTGTACTGAGAAAAGGAGATGTCTGTGAACAGCGGATCAGAGTTATCTTGAATGCTTTCCCTACCACACAGTAGCAGTATGTTACTGAATACTGTTAAAAAATGTTCTCCTTCTCAATATCCTCCCATGCATGTGTGTACAAGGTGTATCTTTCTACTATGTTAATGAAATCATTTGTAAAGATTTTTTAGTTGACTCTTGCATTTTCTTCTTGAGGTAAGGCCTTACTGTGTAAGCGTGTGCCTGTGTCATTCTGACTTACTTTATAGCTATTTCCACATGTCATCTTAGAAAGCAGGAGAGCTGATGACCCTGATCTGGGAACTTTGGTGTTTGCTACTGCTGAACAGAAGTGGAAATAAAATGAATGGTACATCTTTTCTATGAAAACTACAACAACTCAATGAAATTTCTTTTGGAGAAAATTTCTTTAATGCTTTTCCCTTGGAGAGTATGAGAGCCTCTCCTGGAAAAAAAGCCTATCTATATCAACTATTTAAATCATTTTAAGACTGGCATAAAAATTTGAATGAAGAGTATTAAGCCTGTGATTGTTTAAAAAAGTCATTCAGGAGAGCGTAACATGTGAGAAAAAAGCAATCTCAGTATGTTCCACAGCACTAAGTTTCTAGTGCCCTGGGGCTCTGGAGCTTCTTCTGATTGTGATGTTTCGCCCTGGTCACTTGATACTGCAGACTATCAGAACCCTTGAGTAAGGATGTAGGGATCCTCCAACAGACGGCCACATGGTACAGTTTGAGTGTGTCCCACAAAAGCTCCTGTGTTGGGAGCTTGGTCCTCAATATAATGGCACTGGGAGGCAGGGAATCTTCGGGAAATGGAGCCTAGCATAAAGTCATTACATCATCAAGGACAACACTCTCTCTCTCTCTCTTTCTCTTTTTTTTTTTTTTTTTTTTTTGGTTTTTGAGACAGGGTTTCTCTGTGTAGCTCTGGCTGTCCTGGAACTCACTCTGTAGACCAGGCTGGCCTCGAACTCAGAAATCCGCCTGTCTCTGCCTCCCGAGTGCTGGGATTAAAGGCGTGCGCCACCACTGCCCGGCGACAACACTCTCAAAAGGAACAAACTTACTGTTCGTAGACCCTGTGATTGCTTCTTGCAAGGAAATTAAATGATGCTCTGGCCTTCCCTATTCCCTTCAGATGACTCCAATTCTGCCATGATGCTACCTGATGACACGATGTGGCAGGGTCCCCACCAGAGGCCGAGTTAGCAGCTTGGCTACAGCAGCTTGGCTGGTAGTCTCCAAGTGGTGAGCTAACAGAACTTGCTTTCTCTATAAAGTCATATGAGTATTGCAAGGACCTACACTTCATGCATAATCTACTGCTTGACATAATCTGATTTTTGACAGCCTGAACTAATTCTTCCTGTTTAAACTTTATTGTAAATTAGGTTTAGCCACCATCCTATCAAAACAGTTCTTTTCTGAGGCACTGTTTTGTTGTTTGAGACAGGGCCTTGACATGTAGACCAGGCTAGCTGGAAGCTTGCTTTTTAGCGCCCCGCTGGTCACCAGCCTTTTGCCTCATCTTTCCAAGTGCCAGGATCATGGCAGGTATCACCACATGACTGTTGTTGTGACTCACCACCATAAAGTTGTTAATTCCAACAACTCTCTCCTCCATTTCCTCGTAGATCCTCCTCCTATTGCCGCTCGCTTGGCAAGGCACTGTATTTCCAGCTAACCCTCCCTCTTCTGGATGCAAATGCCAGTTCTGGAGACCAGCCCTGAGCCTTCTGCCTTTCTCCTTTCATGTTATTTTCTTTGGCAAGATGGAAGCTCATCTATAGCCATGGCTTTAATTATGCTCAAATTTGATCTCTAGACCCACACCTCCCCTTTGTCTACTCAACATATCTCTTTTTCATTTTAGACTTATTTATATGTATGAATATTTGCCTATATGTATACATGCTTACCATATGCAAGCCTAATGCTGGATGAGGCCAGAAGTAGGTGTCAGATCTCCTGGAACCAAAGTTACAGGTGGTTGGGAGTCACAGTGTATATGCTGGGAATTGAACTGGGTCCTCCGCAAGGGGGGGCCAGTGCTTTTTAACTACTAGATCATCTCTCCACTCCTGACATTTCCGATACTTGGGATCTCAAATAAACAGCATCTCATAGTAAACTGAAGATCATCAACCACAACGTAGATTAAAACGTCACTACTATTCACTTAGCTGTCCAAGCCAGAGGCCTGTACAACTTTCCCTGTCTCTTCCTAGTTTCCCAATTAACAGATCCTACCGATTCCTCTAAGTTTCCCACTGTCACCACTCTAGTTCAAAAAAAGGACCCAGGCTGGACAGTGATGTAATGTCCTGCTAACTAGCTGTGTTGGCCACCTTTCCCTTGCTGCAACTAATATCTGAACTAGGTAATTTAAAAGAAAGATTCGCTTGGCTCACACTTTCACAAGTTTCAGTGTGGCTGGCTCCATTGGCTTTGTACATGTGAAAAGAGAGAAAACAGGTCTGAGGCAGTGGTGGCAGCCATCAAAAAGGCTTAGTGGTAAAAGTGCATGCCATGTGTTCCCACTAGTTTTTATCACTTTGACACACCTAGATAACCTTAACTGAAGAACTGCCTCCATCAATTGGCCTGTGGGCATGTCTGTGAGTGATTGTCTTAACTGTCAACTGAGTCGTGAAGGGCCCACCCAATTGATGTGCTAGTACCATTCCTACACATGCGGGCCTGCATAGTGTAAGAAAGCAAGGCAAGTTGACACACTGAGCACAGAGCAGCAAACCCCCCCCCCCAATGTTTTGGCTTCTATCCTGATTTCCCAAATGATGGGTTGTAACCTGGAAGTGTAAACCAGTAAAACCCTTTCCCTCTCTCAGTTGCTTCTGGTCAGAGTATTTTCTCACTGACAGAAATGCAAACTAGAGCAGCACCGAAACCTGACAAGTGGACCTCAATCTCTAGAACCTAGAGTAAAATCAGAGAACTGACTCTAGGTTTTGTCTTCTGACCTCCACATGTGTGCATAATACATGCATGCTCAAATCCCCGCCTCCCCCCACAGAGCAATGATAAATTTAGTACTTTTAAGGACTGCTGAAACAGAACTGCTCACCTCATGATGGCCAGGAAGCAGAGAAAAACAGGAAAGAATAGAGAAGTTGTAGCCCTCCAGAGTACTACAACCCTCTGCGAACCCGTTCGCACAACTAGGCCCTACTTTAATTTTTTACTATGTCCCAATAATATCATTATATGAATCCATTAAAGGGTAATCCATTGACTAGGTCTGAGCTTTAATAACTTAATCAGCTCTCAGTGACTGGGGTCCACAAGCCTTCAGAAAAACATTTCATTTCAAAACTCTAATAGCAGCAGTCCTGACAGGGTACATTTTCCTCCTTTTCTAACTCCAGAGCACAGCAAGAGACTGTTGACAGAAATGAAACTGATTACTCTAAAAGCCTAATGGTCCAAGACAGTGTAGCCCTGGCTGTCCTAGAGCCACTCTGTAGACCAAGGTGGCCTCAGACTCACAGAGATCTGTCTGCCTCTGCCTCTCAGTGCCACCATTACCTGGCCTATCAGTGGTCTCCTAATGGTCTTAAGATAAAAGAAAATGTGAGTCTATTTGGCCTCTGCCTTTCTCTTGGGTTTGACTTCTCAACTCTAATCCTTCTTCAGTTTCAAAAGCTGCCATTCATTCTTCTACACACTATGACCCCACTATTATTAGTTAGTTAGTTCTTTATTATAATGAATGGAAAGAATTTATACACTCAATAAAATTTATTACTAACTATAGTGTAAATAAGCTTTAAAATAATAAACTCAATGAAAAAACCTGAGGCTAACATATCTGTGACCTAGGCATGGCTGTACAAGCTGAGAACTCTAGTACTTAGAAGGTAGAATCAGGAAGATTAAGAGTTCAAGGGCACCTTTGGCTACATAGTGAGATCAAGATGAGCCTAAGCTATGAGATTCTGTTTACCTCCCACCCCAATCTGCAAAGAAAAATCCTACCTCTAACAAAGTTCACTCAGTGTTAGTAAAACATACTTGACAAATGAATTTACACTCTACAACTTTAATCTTTT